CAGTGTGGGGACACCCCAAAACATTGCAATGGTTTGGAGCCATCCCTAATCTAAGGACGGCACCGCCCTTAATTCTGACATTAAGTTTACGTAACTACGGTGACACTGACAGTCAGAAGTTCCGTATGAAACAATCAAGTATTCCGACCAAAAACAATAAAAGACAACCAAGCTGGGATGTTGACTATTTAGTCCAATCCATCGTTTTACTAGTGGCTTTTTAAGAGCAAGGCCCAATGACTTAATGGGCCAAATGTACAAAGAATTCTTGGAGCCCAATGGCGGCTGTCAACATCTTCTAGGGCTCAGTCCGATTGGACACCGAGTCTCTCGCTTCTCTCTCCCACAAAAATCACAGAGACTTGAAGCTGTGCGATCTCTCTCTCTCTCTCTCTCTCTCTCTCTCTCTCTGAGCAGCGACCATGCTTTCAGGGGACATACCGCCTAACCAAACAATATACATTAAGAACCTCAACGAGAAAATCAAAAAAGAAGGTAACTCAATCTATGCTCTATCTCTTCTTCCCTTTGTTTGGTTACCGAGAAACCTGAGGAAACTGTAAGAAAACAAAATGCCGAATCTCTCACTTGTTTTAATTGACTCACCATAGTAATGTCTAGTCTGCAAAATTAATCGCAATACTCTCCTTTGAATCCATTATAGTGTATTTTCTTTTATTTATTTTTTAACTTCTCTTAGCGCAAGTTGAGGTTTAGGGTTTTAGTTTGAATTGGCGAGTGCAACCACAGCAGATAGGGCATGGTGAATTTAGTGAAAATTCGGTATGGTACTTGATTCAGAAACTTTAATGGTGAATCTTCGTGCAAGTGTTGAAAGGACCATTGTTGGTTGTATATTGAATTGGGTATTTGAACTTACTCATATGAAACCTAGGTAATAGTTGAATTTCATGAATTATAACCGGATACTAAGGTTGCATTGCAGTTGTGAATTTAAAAGGATGGGTTTTGATTTAACGATTTAGTTTACACGATTTGCATAAAACGCTAAATATGTGGAGAAAAGAAAATTCTAATACTTATTGTTGTAAATCAAGAACAAAACACTATATTTATGTCTTGAGTATTCGAACTTTATCCCATTTCAAACAATCAAGTTCACGTGGGGAGTTCATTACTTTTATTTTAATGGTTATAAAGTCTCATTAAACAATTTAAATGAGGAATCAATTCAAAATCTCATCTTCTGAATCCACAAACCAAATGCAACATTAGAGAGTTTTGTTGTTGTAAAGTGATTCTGGTTTACTTGGGTGCTTGTTGGATCATAAAATTGAGAAAGTGACACTGTAGAGGCAAGAGGGTAACCACAATTTTCTGCTTTAGCGGTCTTGACATCTTACTTCCTTTTTGAAGTCGACTTTTGAATTGTCTAGCATAACAAGATATTAATGTTACTTTTGGGGCTAAACTTTTGTATGTTAATAGTGGCATTCTTTTTGCTTCCTTTGCAGAATTGAAGAGGTCCCTGTATTGCTTATTCTCGCAATATGGAAAGATTTTGGATGTTGTAGCTTTGAAGACACCCAAGCTTCGTGGGCAAGCATGGGTTGCATTTCTAGAAGTGACTTCTGCCAGTAATGCTGTGCGTCAGATGCAAAACTTCCCATTTTATGATAAACCCATGGTAGGTCTGAATAAGCCCAGTTGGTAGCTTATTGCATATAAGTGGGACATGTTTGCTAAGATTTCAACTTTCTGGAACCATATAAAGCTTTCTTCCTAATCTGTATTCTTCTGTTATGTCGCAGATTCTAATTCTATACTCTTATGTTTGTGTGTATCTCTGAGCTGTCTATGTTTTTGTTAAGTTTGGGCTTCATGACCATATCTGGCATGCTTAGCCTTCCTTTTCTCTTCTTTAATTAGTTTATGATGTAGGCATTGCATCCCTTGAAAGATGTAGTTACCAATACCTGGAAGTTTGTTTTGAAAGAGAAATCTATTTGTGGAATAAAGATGCATTCACTGTAAATGTTACACTACACTCTGCTCTTTAGTTGTTTTGTTTTTATCAAAGGATGATGTTTGATTATAATATTGTGATGTTCACATCCATTAAATTTTGTTTTTCTAAAATGTAAAGATGATCATAATTTTTTTTGGTGCAGCGGATTCAATATGCAAAAACAAAGTCAGATTGCATAGCTGATGCAGACGGAAGCTTAGGTCCAAAAGAAAAGAAGAAGAAGCAGGATGATAAAGGTGACTGAAATTACTTAGATATTTTGAATAATCTTGAATTTTTTAATTGGGTATTTGATGTATTTCATTAAAATTAGTTATGAAATGCATGGACCATTGTTATAGCATAAGAATATAAAGATTACGATGAATAAATGACTGGTGTGTTCCTAAGAATGTTGAGAACACATTGCTTCTACTTGAACCAATAGAGCTTAAGACTGCTAAGAATTCTGACAGATTTTGCATATGAGTTTGGTGAGTGGGTACTAATATTACAAAATAGTTTGCCATTCTGAGTATTAAAGTACGACCATTGCTTGTTTGGCAATATGTGTAGAAAAATTTGATTGAATGCGTTTGACTCCTGTAGGTCTCTCTGCCCTGCTATGTGCAAGAGCATCAATGTATTATTTAAGACATTCCTTTTTTCTTTGACTTGGGAAAATTTAAATGACACTTGATCGACCTGGTCTAATATAGTAAAGGGTTGTTTAGGTTAGGTAGGCTATATTTACAAGGTGGCTGATAGATAATACTAAAAGTTTTAGTTTATATTGAAAAAAAAAAGTTTGCTCAAATTAGATTCTTATAATATCTTAAGCGAGTCGTGTTTTGAAATCAATCTGTTGATTCAGCTGAAAGAAAGAAGCGAGGTGATGAAGGGCAGCAATCTGCTACGGAAAATGGTGCAACTGCTGAAAATGGAGGCAGAACAGTAAGTGTTTCTAACACTATCATGCAGTGCCATTTGATAATCTTCTTTTTCAACTCTCACACTGTGAATGATGGACTCTTTTTTGCTTACACTCTTGAGTGTGAAAAATTAAATTTTATATACAAAGTGCTAATTGATTCATGTAAATTGTATGTGTATCATCAGCAGGCCTCATCTCGGCAAGGCAACCCAAATGCACATGAAGCAGCAGCTCCAAACAGCATTCTGTTCATTGAGAATTTGCCCCACGAAACCACTAGTGCTATGCTGGAATTGCTGTTCAAACAATACCCAGGATTTAGGGAAGTCCGGTTGATTGAAGCAAAGCCAGGCATCGCCTTTGTAGAGTTTGAAGATGACATTCACTCATCAATGGCCATGACTGCCCTTCAAGGCTTCAGAATCACCCCTCAAAACTCCATGGCCATCTCTTTTGCCAAGAAGTAACCGAAATAACCTCACCTTCCTATCTTCTGTAGTAAAGTGTTGTTCTGTTTCTTTCGTTGTGTTGCGGATATGTAATAGTCGGAGCGTATAATCTTACTGTACTCTTGTTGATCCTCAAGAAACTTAATGCAGAATCAATTTATCATGTGTTTGGATTCATATGAAAAATGACAAATGAGCAGAGACGCAATCAACTCTTGAACCCAAATCCGGGTGATCTCTGTACAAATTTGCGTCTAATGCAAACACAATCCAACCCGAGTGGAGAAAATATCACTATATCCTGATAGAGATTGGTGATTCCGTTAAATATAGAGAACGGTGAACCCGTTAATTTAACCGGGAAAAATCCCCCAAATAGATGAAAAATTGGGTTGTGCTGATGTTCTCCATTCAATAAGAAACACAGAGCCACTTGAAGCTGAGATCATGCATCATACTCCACTGGTTCAACAGCTAAGAACAAATTCCACTTGCATTTTTCTTTCTGGAGCTTCAGTTGCATGTGACATCATGGAAGCGTGAAATGTGTCCTGTTAAGTACCATGTGCACTTCAACCTGTCCTGCCCTCCCTCCCTCATATGTTACTTCCCCAAATAAGAATGAAAAGAAATCTGCCCTGCCCCCACCTATTATTAGCAACCGACGGTCTATATTTCGTAGAATCGTAGTACCAACTATGACCCCAGCCACTCCTTTCTCTCCACATGTTTGAGAATGCTTCCTATAGATATAAAAGCACTTCTATCCATAAAAGCGCTTTTATTAGAATATCGTCAAAAAATATACTGTAAATCCAACTAAGTGCTAGTACGTACTTCTCCATAAAACGCTTTTGTGACTCAAAATCATTTATCTACCACATAATATAAGAAGCACTTTTGGTTGTTAAGAAACACTTTTGGGGTTCGTTTGTGAGTGATTTTAGATAGATTAAGGGTCAGTTTTGCATTGCTGTGCTGTAAAAATAATCGCTGTTAGATTTACTGTGAGAGAAATCAGCTGTGAGAGAAAACAGTTTGGCGTTTGGTAAATTTGTTGTTAAAAAGTGTTGTTTATACTGATTCCGCATAATTAGAAAATGATTGGTGCATAATCATTAAACCTAACGCCTCTTCGAAATTGATTCCTGCATAATCAGAAAATGAAAGCACCTCATTAGCTGCTTTCCCTTATAGCGTTCTCTCACAGCAATTTTTAACAATAAGTGATTTTCTCATAGTTCACCAAACGGGCTGTGCTTTCCAAAATGTTTAAAAAATCACTTATCACCCCAAATAAGTAATGCCAAATGGGCACTAATAATCATTTCTGGTTCTCCTCATAAGTGATTTTAGCCATCCCATAATCATTTCCAAACATACCCTTAATCCTTTCAAAACACTCAAAAAAGAGAAAATTATTAGAACATGTATATTGCGTTTTTCTAAAAGCTGATTATTCGTAAGAAAATTGTAAGCCAAGTAGTTAAAAATATTTACCTATGCACCCGAGGTCCTATGTTTGATTTCCCACTTTTCACTATCTCTTGTAGAGAAAAAAGAAATTGCTGATTATTTAATAGTGCCACGACCCTTTCCACTATCTCTTGCAGAGAGAAATTGCTGATTATTCAATAGTGCCACGACCCTTTCCACTATCTCTTGCAGAGAGAAATTGCTGATTATTCAATAGTGCCACGACCCTTTCCACTATCTCTTGTAGAGAAAAAAGAAATTGCTGATTATTCAATAGTGCCACGAGGTTACTATTGTAATTTCGCACGCAGCTCTTCTTCCCACGCTCTCTCCAAAGCCACCGTTTTTCTGTTATACAGTTGGTTACCTCCACCTCTAACTCTTCTAAACTTTGTCCAAAAAAAAAAAAAAACTCTTCTAAACTTGGGACACCAGACCATAGCCACCATATCCATGAAGAAGCTCAACAACAGCAGCAACATGACCAACCCATTTGATATGTTCACCGATGAGATCATCCACACCATCCTCGACCATCTAAACGACGACCCATTTGCCAAAAAGTCCTTCTCTTTGGTCTGCAAGTCCTTCTACTTCATCGAGCGTCTTCACCGCAAATCCCTCAAGCCCCTTCGCTCGGAGCTCCTATGTAGAACCCTCCATCGCTACCCTTCAATTTCTCACCTCGACCTATCTCTCTGTCCACGTGTCGACGACCCATCACTCGCCTCACTCTCTGTTTCATGGAAATCGACGCTCCGTTCGATCAATCTCTCGCGCTCCAGAGACTTTACCAGCATTGGGTTGCTGCGATTGGCCACCAACTGCTCTTCTCTGGTCGAGATTGACTTGTCCAATGGCACTGAGTTGACTGACTCGGCGGCCAAAGCGATCGCAGAGGCTAAGAACTTGGAGAGGCTGATTTTGGCGAGGTGTAAATTGATTACTGATATTGGGATTGGGTGTGTGGCTGTTGGGTGTAAGAAGCTGAGATTGCTTTGCTTGAGGTGGTGCTTACGTGTCACTGATTTGGGTGTTGGGTTGATCGCTATGAAATGCAAGGACCTTCGGAGTTTGGATCTCTCTTGTTTGCCGGTTGGTTTTTCTTTGTCTCTGTCTCTCTCTACATTTTTCTGGGAGCTATTTTCATTTGCATTTGATGATGTTTATAGCTCCATTGAGCTAGTGATTGACTAAAAATTAGTTATTATTGAACAGTTAAAAAAAAAAAAAGGTCTTGTGCTTTCCTACATTTTCCAAGCATTTTGGGATTTATCTCTGTTGAATGCTGATTGACCAGACTTCAGTTGGGTAAATTTGATTTTAATATTGTTTTTACTGCAATTTTTCACTTTCAACTCTGGTCAATATGCCTACCCAAACGATATGGTGTTGAAGCTCAAGTTTGGGATTTGGTAATCTGAACTGTGCTGTTCTTCTAGGCGTTGATGTTAAGTTATTGTTTTTCTGGTTTGGTGCATTGGTTCTGTTCACTATGGTGTATTTTTTTAATATTCATTTATAGCTTGGTGGGATGTAAAGGGTTTTGCTTTCTTGTATCAGCTTGCACTTTCATTATCAGATTCATAATATGGTTCTCCTGAAAAGTCATCTCAGATGCTTTATGTAATATAAGAAGCATTATCCCAACCTACAGTGTGATTACAATTTTTATGTAGGTCTCATGACATATTTCTTCCATTCCTTGAGATTAACTTTATATGTTTCTTCAATGATATTCCACAGAGTGCATGATTCTTTAAAGGAGTAAAGTTTTCTTGGTGGATCATTACTAACAAAAAGTTGCTAGTAGTGAAAGGCCAACCCATCAACACAAAAACCAACTGTAGATACTTTTCGTCAACATTGTTGGCTGTGCTGTCTAATTATTATGACCACTGTCTTGTTGGTCTGAATTTGATTTGTTGGTGTAGGGTGACGTATTTGACCCATGTAAGCATGAATAAAACTAGGTAGAAATGAAATAAGATGGAGAAATGCATTTCACATGTTCCGAACCTCTTTCCGGTTCCATTTTACTTTTTTTTTTTAATCAACTTGAAATTACATCTATGCTTTTCTCTGTAGATCACAGAAAAATGTCTCCCACATATCCTGCAATTACAACATCTTGAAGATTTAATTCTTGAAGGATGCCTTGGAATTGATGATGAAGGCCTTGTGACCCTTAAGCATAGTTGCAAGTCCCTCAAGGTACATTTCATTTGCTTGCTGATGTTTTACATAAGTTTCCATAACTTTAAGACACTTATTTTTAGCAATATACAAGGGTTTTACTTGACAAAAGGGAATCATATTTTTCCACCATGCCCAATTTTCTCAGACTTGATGGTGGATGCCCATTTCATAAAACTCTTCTATTTTATCAAAATTCTATCAGAAATCATAAGAGCCACATTCAATTATCTCCACTGATTATTCACTAATTCAGAAATCTTAGCTGACGCTTGCTCATTTCAACCGTATTTGTATACACTCTTCACTAATTTCCTCTTCTGCAGATGCTTAATTTGTCAAAATGTCAGAATGTTAGCCATGTGGGTTTGTCTTCTCTGACAAATGGTGCTGAACACCTAAAGCGGCTAGTCTTAGCATATGGTCCTTCGGTGAGTCTGAAACCCTGTATGGTAATAACCCAAGTAATGAACTCTATGCTTACACTCTTTTCTGACGCTTTTAATCTTGTTTTAGGTCACCACTGACCTAGGAAAATGCCTACTTAATTATTCGAGGTTGAAATCGATTAGCCTAGATGGCTGTTTAGTTACATGTTCTGGGACAAAAGCCATTGGAAGTTGGTGTGCCTCACTGAGAGAGCTGAGCTTAAGTAAGTGCTTGGGAGTTACAGATGAGTGTGTCTCCTTCCTCGTGCAAGCCCATAGAGAGTTGCAGAAATTAGACATCACCTGCTGTCGCAAAATAACTTCTGCCTCTATGGATTGCATAACAAAATCATGCACCTTCCTCACTTCCCTCAGGATGGAATCGTGTAGCCTGGTTTCTGAAGATGCTTTTCTGTTGATTGGACAGCGTTGCCAATTCTTGGAGGAATTGGATGTCACAGATAATGAAATCAACAATGAAGGTTTACCTTGAATCTAACCTCTCCTTTGTGTGTAACTTACCTAACCTTTCTTTTCCCATGTAATCTTCTATCTGTTAATAATTGATACTCCTTCATTTGTTTAGGCTTAAAGTCTATCTCAAGATGTTCCAAACTTTGTCGTCTAAAACTGGGGATTTGCTTGAACATTACTGATGATGGACTTACCCACATTGGAAGTGGCTGTCCAAAGCTTAAGGAGCTTGATTTGTACAGGTTGGTCGCTTTAGAGATCTCTAGATATTCTGTTCATTTCTTTTGCATCTGAATCAATTGACTGCTACATGTATGGGGTGCTCTATCATTTGGTGAATTCAATGATCACTTGGCAGTATATTGTTTAAAGAACCTAGAAATTACATTCCTGTATGTAGAAAAAGAAAGGTAGGGGGTGGAGGATGGCTTTGCATTGACAATTCTGAGACAAGATAGTGTATAATGATATACTTTAAAGAAAAGGAAACTGGATCTCATGCTGGCCTCATTATCAAATCTCTATTTCCCACCTCCAATTCCGTAAGTTGCTGCAGATCTACATATCACCAGTATTGGGTGGAAATTACATTTGTTTAGTAGTTTCTCCCAAATTACTTTGTCATCTGCTGCTGAGTTCTCTGAAAGAATAATGCTATGTCAAACCTTATTGTAGCTGTTATAACTTTCACCTCTGATAACAATCTTATTGGGTTTTCTTTCCTCTCTTTTTTCCCTTCAGGTGCTTGGGAATAACTGATGTGGGCATTGCAAAAATTGCTTGCGGATGTCCTACTATGGAGATGATTAACATTGCTTATAATGATAAAATTACAGATTCTTCATTAATATCATTGTCACAGTGTTTGAGGTTAAAGATACTTGAAATTAGAGGATGTCCTAGTGTCTCAACAGTGGGTCTTTCAGCTATTGCTGGGGCATGTAGGCAACTTGAAGTTCTGGACATAAAAAAGTGCTTCAATATCAATGATAATGGAATGCTTGCACTTGGTCAATCTTGCCAAAACCTCAGACAGGTAATTTCTCTTTCCACTCTCCGTCTGGATCATTAAAGTTGATGCCAAACTAAGACCAGGGGTTCATTTCTTCATGTGGCAGATAAACTTGTCATATTGTTCAGTTACAGATGTTGGGCTCTTATCTCTTGCCAGTACCAACCGCCTGCAGAACATGACTATTTTGCACTTGACGGGATTGACCCCAAATGGCCTTGCAGCTGCCCTATTGGCATGTGGAGGCCTAACAAAAGTCAAGCTTCACACATCCTTGAAACCATTGCTTCCAAAATATATCTTTGGGTACATGGAAGGCCGTGGTTGTGTGTTTCATTGGAGGGACAAAGCATTCCGGGTACTTTAATTCTTTCCATCCGAGTGCAGCTTCATCATGTCATGCTAATATCAATTATTAAGAAATTTAGTTGGCGAGAAATAAAACTTGCCTCCCACATGAATTCCAGGGTATGCATTGAATAAAGATGACATATATAAGAACAATGGAAGTGAAAACAACGCTGGTCATAATTTTAGAAATCTTTCCTCTGACAAGTTTTTCCTCATATCGATTTCCTTGTACTTCCCTTCCTACTTTGGTTATTATCAATGATGGTTAAATGATAGGTGAAAACATGCAATCAGCTGAAGTCATTGATGCATTGATTCCTTAGTAATTATCAAGTGTCTTGTGTTGGACGTGGTAGAATAACTGAGCTTGCCAGAGAATCATGATTGATAGGCAGTAGATCACCTGGAAGATTGTAGGGATTTCCTTTACGCCAATTTGTTAAACTGTTGTTTTATGTCTTGTTTTCAGGAGGAAATAGATCCAAATGGATGGCAATTGCAAGTTGGAAGGTCTCCTGAAGCTGCGTAGATTGGGAAGAAAAAGTGAAAACCAGACATGTATAGTGCTTATAACAATGAGTCAATGACCATTAACGACATAATCAAGACGCTTCCAATTTGCTCAATTCTCCCAATACCCCAAAACAGGTACTAGCATTCCTCTGCTGTTGTTTGGCACGTTGAAGGGGTGCTGCAAAAATACAAGTATATGTGTATTTGTTTTGTTCAATTAGAGATGCTGGCTTCATGCTGTAACCTGCATGAACCGACTGCCTTTAAACTTGACTATATCTTGCATTTGTTATTCTTTCCAATTCTGCTGCATATCAAACACAGAACAATATCTAGCTAATCTAGTCTTATGTTAGATTAGACCCAACAAGACACCATTAGTTTTATTTTATTAATCCAATCTTGCATGCAAGACAAGAGAAGGTCGATATTGGATATAACATGGCAGACTGTTTTAGTCTGCCGAGTACATATGAGCTGGCAAACAAGGCTTTGCAAGTGCAAGCAGAGGCTTAGCGAGGCTGAGTTCATCCTTTTACTCGGTGAGGTCAATTCTGGACTCAGTGGGTGGCACATTCCGACTAATTCCATGAAGAAGCCTAGCAAATAACATGACAAACTTTGAAGTGCCAAGCGCAGTCGCTACGCAGCCACACATTCCAGTGCTGAATGATATGAAGCGCAGCTCTGTCTCTGTGAGCAAGACTGCAGACAATCATCTTCCTTGAGATGGCGCTCGGGCATAAACTTGAGAGGTTCATCCCAGACTTTAGTGTTGCGGCCAAGTCCTGGGTGGCTAGGCAGCACATGGCTTCCCTTGGGGATGAAGTAATTGGCAACTGTCTTGTCGGAGATGGACACGTAGGGGACATTAAAGGGTTGCAATGGGGTGGAGGCGAAAGGCCTCTCTAGCACAAGCCTTGACATAGTTGAGCTGTGACAAATCTGACTCTTGGACTAGTCTTTCCCTGCCAACCACCATCCAATTCTTGTGTCGCAAAATATTTCTGTTAAATTCATTTACGTATCTTATAAAGAAAAAATAAAGAAAAGAAATTCATGCACACGTAATAATAATTAGCAAGATATAACGGGACATCCGCATTGGAGAATAAATTATATGCACATGAACGTTACACTAATATCTCAAATATATCTCTGAGAATTCGGTACTAATTAGGTTTTATTTGACCTATATTGAAAATCAAACTCTCTACAAGAAAACAATGCTCCATTTGGATGGAGGGATTTTAAAGAAGGGATTTGGATTTGAGAATAAAGATAAATTTGCTATAGAAACAAGAACCACATTAGATTGAAGGTATTTAAAATGACTAGATGTAGTACATTTGAAATAGATTTGAAGTGATTACATGCTAGGAATCATTTGAAATTCATTTATCTTATTCCTTCATTTCTTGTCCAAAACTTGGCATACATGAATTGTACTAGTCTAAACAAGCAAGTTTATACATTATAATGTCATCTCAATCAATGGATTTGAAATCATTCCATCCACATGGAGCCTAAGGCTTTAGGGGTGACCCAAAAAAAAAAAATTCGTAAAGAAACGAAAATGAGATTCATCATATGTGACATTAGAAAAACTTCATCACAGATTCTCGCTTTATGTGACAAATTTTGAGGCAAAAGACCCTGTTTTCTAGAGAGAGAGAGAGAGAGAGAGGGAGTCACCGTTACTTGAGCTTTGATTTCTTCTAGTGACAGTAGTGGTTCCCCAGAACTGGCATCTTTCAATGAGACTAGAATGTCAAGCAAGTCCTCTGGGTCCTTCTTCCCATAACCAGATTTCTCTTGCTGAACCCTCTCTTCAATCAGAGGGTCATGGTATTTCCTTGTAATCTCAATGGGCTCCTTTATTATCTTCTAATGGCCACCCAAGTCAAGCCCTCTCGGCGTGTAATCTGATGCACGCAATGAATAGATGTATTTGAGCAGAGTGGAAATGCTAACAGCCCGGCATAAGTTGCATCTTGTTTCTTCGAGAACTTGCGGCTGAGTTTTGGGCAAGTGACGGTGAATACATGAACATTTCCAAGGCGGAAGCATGCGATTTCAGTGTTCATCTCGTCCATGAGCTTGTGCATCCACCAGAACGCGGTCTTGTTGATGAGCATTTCGGGGAGGTTGCCAACAATAGGCCAAGGCTTTAGGCACCTGGGACTAGGAAGTGGGTAGTGTTGCTTGAACTTCTTCACGCCTGGATTGTCTGATCAAATATGTGATGGCGATTGTAATGAGAAGAAGCAAGAAGGGGAGGCAGAATAGCTTCGAGGGAAATAAGGCAATGACTGTGGTTTAGAGAACAAAGCTGATCACCCAAGTTTTTCAGAGACTTGTATAGAAACCCCACTAGTAAGTACTAAAAGGACTGGCAAGTAGTAACCTTTGTTTTTTGGTAACCACTACCCAATTCAGTTCAGTCAAGATTTTTTTGTACCACTTCCTTTAGTTACGGTACATACAGTTACTGTCTAAGAGTCAGTTGAGGTTGACTATTTGGTTTTTTCATGATAAAAAAACATGTGTGTTAATAATTTAGCGTGATCAGTCAAAAGTTCTTATTATTTTGTTACTGCTAGCTAGAGAGGTTTTGTAAGGTATCCGATGGCTTTCAACGAACCTTAAAACTTCCTCTGGGCTATTTTTATCTAATCATGCACTTTAATTAAGCTCTTTTATCTTTTTGTGATACAAATGATATTGGAGGGCGAAACATAATCTCATATACAAAGGTAAAATTTTCAAGATGCATACGGATTATAAAATAAAAATCGTATTAGATGATCATATAGACCTCCTACTTGCAACTTGCTTTTACCAATAATCACGTGTACAAGCGATACACTCAAATTATATGTTGAGAGTTAAGGATTTAGTGATAAAAGTTGTGTTTTAGTTTAGCACACATTCATAGCAATGTATCGGTACCGAATTTTATGTCACCTAGTGTGCTATCATCATATTGTGAAAAGAAAAAACCAAAAAACCAAACACAAAAAGATCAAAACCAAAAACACAGTCGTGAAAATTCAGATTTCTTCTACAACATATTTATCCAAATATATACAACAGTAGTAGTAGTACTAGATGTGGAAGCAAAACCTTGTGACAAAAACATCAATCAATTTTGTGCATCCCAATGATCCCATACTTGCGGCCTCCATCATTAAATGAAAGCTATGGGGTTTCGGTTTTTCTCTTCACTTTCTTGCGCGTGCACATTGCATGCATGTCATCTGCGGCCACGTACGTATGCATATATATCTGTTTTGCTTTCATTTCTATCTCCAACTTTCGGCCGACCTGAACATGTATATATATAGTGGGGATGAAGCAAGCAGCTAGAGTCATGGTGCCTAGTAGAAGTGGGTGCATCATATCCACAGCTAGTGTAGCCGGTGCCATGGGAGGCCTTAGACCTCATGCTTATACAGCCTCAAAGCATGCCATTGTAGGTCTAACAAAGAACAAAGCTTGTGAGCTTGGTCGATATGGGATTCGAGTTAATTGTATTTCTCCTTTTGGGGTAGCTACTTCCATGCTAATCGATGCTTGGAGCGGTCACGAGGAAGATGGTGAAGGCATGGATTTTGGATCGTCACCTTGTGAGGAAGATGTGGAAAAGATAGAAGAGCTTGTGAAAGGCCTGGCCAATCTAAAAGCCAATCTAAAAGGTGCAACTCTAAAAGCTAAAGATATAGCAGAGGCTGCTCTTTTTCTTGCAAGTGATGAATCAAAGTATGTGAGTGGTCATAACCTCGTTGTGGATGGTGGTTATACTACCTCAAAGAATTGCGTGGGTTTGTAAAGATCGATCAATTGGATATGTTCGATTGAAATTTGTAAGTAGATGCTTGAAATTTATATGATATTACAAGAAAGCAACAATTGAACCTTACATGCCATGAATTTTTACTGTTAAGAGTCCTTGCCTTTATATAGATTCATGTCTTTATAGTCTATGTTATGCTACGTTCGCTTGGTTGTCTCCTTACTTTCTCTTCATGGCCTCATGCCAGGGTGCCGTTCTTCTCTAATCGACGTGGTACATGTGATAAGTGGATATTTATGGATACTATTCCCTAAAAGGAAGGAAAATAAACCACGTCGTCCACTCATATTATAACACGTGTACAAGATGTACTATGTGGTCATACTACCATAGTGTTCTATAATTTCTTCAAGTTTAACCGATCACTACAGCGTTATTAAAATGAGCCAAAAGTTAAACTTATTTATGAAGAAAGAAAATAAATTGACATGACACATCTCTCAAATTTTTTCACTTAAAGTCATGAGACATGAGCTTAGGGACATAATTGATTACGTTCGTGAGCACTAGTTTTGCTTCAAGGTGTTAACTGCACAGCTAATAACCGTGAGAAATTTTGCTTCTAGTTTTGACCTTACATGCATTTGCATATTGTTTGTTACTTTCCTTTCGTTTTCTTCTAAATACACGTGATTCGTATAGGGCCAGCTAAAATATATAATATATAAAAAACATAATCACTTTTACAAATAATATATAGGAAATTTCCCGCCTTTGATCCCACCTAATTTCTAACGTGAATTATTTCTTTTAATTATATTTGCTTTCATACTAGCATTCTTGGCTTTCCCGAAGGGTTGTTTATTAAATTAATTAATTAAACTTTTCATTTATTGCAACTCAATTTTGAGCTTTGTTTGTATTTGGCACCAGATACATATCGTCCCCAGATTAGCATATTCTTTAGCAATTAATATATATATAATTAGATAAAACTACTAATTTAAGGACCTAATGCACATTTTGTTTATAGAGAAATGCTAACGTGTGTGTATAACGAGTAATCGTTGATGACTGTAAGACTCACAATTAGCCGACGATTCAAACTCATCCGGGTATCTGACTGATTGAGCTAGTTATATAATATATATATTTTTTGGAAACATCAAAGACTATTGGATCTCCAGGTCTTGAAAATAAACATTTTGATTTCAAATTTTATTTGAATAGCTGGGCCATAGTGTAAGTTGTACCAAAACCCTCCAAGTGCCCACCCCAGCTGCTCCTATATATAAATATGTCCCATGTACTCTTTCAAGTTACTCCACCAACCAAAATATATAACAAACACGAAACTTCAACTTTTAGCTAGCTATAGCCTTCCCTAGTTCGTCCTGAAATTCCTGAAAATGGGGATTGATCACGAAGAAATCTCCACGGAAACCACGACTCTCGGGGAATTATTAGTGGCGGAAAACATCGGATCCCGACACAGAAAAGTTGTCAAGGCGCTCTACAAGGCCTTGGCACATAAAGACACTAGTACCACCTCAAAGCTCGTGGCTCCGGATCTTGAGTGGTGGTTCCATGGACCGCCACATTGCCAGTACATGATGAGGACCCTAACCGGAGAATCGAGACACGTGGAGTTCAAGTTCAGGCCTCGGAGCATCACGCCCGTTGGTGACCGAGTGGTGGCGGAGGGATGGGAAGGATCGAAGGCGTACTGGGCGCATGTGTGGAGCGTCAAGGAAGGGATGATCACTCAGTTGCGTGAGTATTTCAATACGTGGGTGACGGTGATTGTTGGGAATTCAGAAGTTGAGGATGAGATGATGAAGCTGTGGCAGAGTGATCCTAGGGAGCGGTCGCAACGCTCATTGCCAGATATTGTTCTAGCTATATGATCATATATAATAATCGTTTTAGAAAATTTGAGATTTTCTCTTATCTTTAGCTATGATACTTTTTTAGTTAAAAGCACGAAGAATAGAATCCAACTAAGCAAATTTCCTAATCAAACTTGTTAATTTAGGATTTGTATTATTTATGAAGGGATATTATTAAGTTCATTGACATGTTGGAATGGAATGATATATATATGCCTTGGTTATTTGCCTGTAAAGAACTGTTTTTCAAAAAGAATTTTTGTTTTATTTTAGAAATTCACATATATGTAAGTTGAAGTACATCAACTCTCTTTCAAAAAATCCTGCAGCCAATTATTTCGTTCTTCCTCATATCTTCTTCTTTCTCTCTTTTCTTGTTTCTTTTAAACATATCTTCATGCTTTGTAAGCACTCTACGGTGCTTATAGTGAAGAAGACTATATAAGTTGGTGGCGACAAGATTGAAAGAGGAGGTGGAAAGGCTAGGCAAGAGGCGGAGAGTCTGTAGAAGGAGATGGTTGTTGGTGATGAACTTAGATTGCTCTGTTAGCAATCTGTACGGCTGACTAATCCCAGCAAGAAAGCTGAATCCCAGCCTTATAAGTGGAGGTGGAAGACATAGTAATAGGCTTTAATCATGACTTTTTCACCTATAAATAGTTGGAGTTTGAGAAGGCTTTTCATGAGTTTTAGCTCACTTTACAAGTAGAAAGAAAGAGAGGGAGAGAGGAAGAATTCTGAAAGAGAAAAGGAAGAAAGAAAAGACGTTTTGAGCTTTGTAAAAGGAAGGCCTAAGTGTAAGAGCTTTTATGGTTTTGGGTGTCCTTAGTAAATTCTTTAGTTTTCAATTTGAATTCCAATACTTTATACCATGTTTTGATCTGAAATTAGAACCTTCTCATATCATTTTTGTATTTCCATGATTCTATTTGAACCTCTGTTTTAAAAGAAAATCAACAGAATTTCAATTGCAAAATATTGTAGGTTTATAGTGCAGATTTCAGATTTCTTAACCTCTCTTCCGACTCAATTTTATTTCATTACAAAGCTTGTTTTAGAAAAATAATTCCGCAACATTGAAGAAGGTTTCATAAGCTTTAAATCAAATATTTATACGAAAATTTTCATGGAGAGATTTGAGGGGTTAAAGTCAGATATGAACATGGCCTGTTAAACTCGAGTAAAATTTTGGGCAAAGTTTCCTGCTCGTACCTGTTACTTTAATTCGTGATTTCTTTCGTTCTAGAACTCGGTTTTTAACAAATTTTACAAGGTTGTAAATCTGATTCTTCAAGCTTTAAAATGACTATTCATTTGTAATTTTTTATTGATATGTGATAAGTCAAAAAGTTGTTCAAAGTTGTCCATTTAAACTGTTAAAAAAACCAATTTTTGTATGAGATGATGACCAGTCATCTTTAATTACAATATTCTAAATATTTTCTTTTATATTTTATATTTTTCAATGAACAGATTTAGACTCTCAAGGACGTTAGAGCTCAACAAAGCTTAAGGAACGAGTTAGTTAGCTTGGAAGAAAGATAGTCGAATTTTGGGGATTAATTACATAGAACTATTTGTTAATACTCTTGTTTAAATTACTTATTGTTGAAACTTTACTAATTCTTTTACATTGTTAGAATGTTTTACTTATGAAATTGAGATATGAATATTGATTATTATATAAAGCTTTTCATTATCATGATTTGCTTGTCATTGATTTTTGGAGTAAAGGAGTTTGTTACATTTTTAGGTTATGAAAAAGGAAAATTGCTTTTGCATATAGCTCAATCTCACTATTGTAGGGACCAAATTCAGGCGAGCTCATGTGTACAGTAGAATATAATATCGGCGGTATACTGGTTGAATGGGTGCTTTGGACTTGGAGATAAATGGTTTAGCCACGACAGCTAGCAAAAGGGGATCATGGAATTTGGAATGTTACGGGTGTTAGTTTATGTAAAGGGGGGCAAACGGAATCACATTAATAAAATGCATGATATAAGACATGCAGATTTGTTTGCTCTATTATATAAATTAATGGATTGAGTAGAATTGAAGTTCATTCATGCATATCATAATTTGTATTGTAAATCTTACTAATCACAAAAGATGTAGGATCCCTGCTAAGCTTTTAGTGCTCACCTCTTTTGACATCTCTTGCACGTTGATGTCGTCCACCTCCTCCTCACACGCCAACACTAGGTATATTTATTCCATCATAGTGTCTCTTACCAAAACTAAGAGACACTATTGACATCTCTTGCACGTTGATGTCGTCCACCTCCTCCTCACACGCCAACACTAGGTATATTTATTCCATCATAGTGTCTCTTCCCAAAACTAAGAGACACGATGGAATAAATAAAATTGAATCACATTTTCCTCCCTATAGATTATGTTGCATATAGTTCCATTCTTTTCGGGGTTTGGAATAGACAAGTGCATCAATTCAATACAACGTTGAGATATCCAAGAACACCAAAACTAAATAATAAAGTATAAGAAAGGCCACAACACTTATTTTACAAACATAATTTAAGTTCCACATATATCACACGCACACGTATATATATATATGCGCTCCCAAATGTTCCCAAGCACATATAATAACCAAGAACTAGACAGACAAGACCCACAAAACACGCATAATTCATCAGATAATTAAGCCAACGTTGTTGCATGCTAATTACTTATTGTTCTTGTGCTTTTTAAACTCTTTCTTAATCAAATATTAAAGAGCTTATAAGATCATAATTGTAGCATTTTTTTTGTTATAGTGCCAAAACGAGGCCAGGGACGGACTCATTATCCGCTAACTTACTTTGCCACACACTCTGGCAATTGCCTGACTGTGACCTAATTTCGGGTGACGATAACCGGGTGACCGTGACGGACGTGTTGTAGTATTCCCTGACCTGGGTAATTATCCCGTCCATCACGGTCCATGCATGCACCCACGACACCGAACGACAATCATCGAATCCTTCGACCAGCACCATTGACCCGAACGCGACAATGGAGAGTGGGACGAACTTGAATGACGAGTCGTATGGTGGCGCGCCGGTGAGCAGGCGGTTCAAATGCTGGTGGGTTGGTGGGCCGTGGAACCACCACTCGAGATAGGGTGCGAGGAGGAGGTGGACGACATCAACGTCGTTGGAGGTCAAGGCTTTGTAGAGAGCCGCCACTGTCGTTTTGTTTCGTGCTTCTTCTGCATCTTCTCCCTCCTGCAGACATGGTTGAAAGTTTGCCAGGTCTAGAGACTGGATCTGGAAGCTGTGCGTTTCACCTGGGAATGTTGGGTTTGAATTTTGAATAAGTTTGATGGGATTTGGTGATTATATATAGGGGCAAAAAAGCTGGTGAGTGGAGTGGGAGTTGGACGGTCGCATTGCATGAAGTAAAATTGGGGAAAACGAGGTAGGATTAATTGGGCCCGCAAGGTCAGGCCACTAAACTCTCATTAATTGGAATTCCATTAGGTGCAAAGGCCAGTTTTTCTGGTGTCAAAATTTTCAATCTCGTGTTAAATTAGTGATAATGTTTGTTGCAACATGTTTTGCGAATTTGGACCTCTCCCTATATTGTAAAGAAGTAACATTAGGTAGATATGAGTTTAATCAAGTTAGTTAGAGCAAATGTGATCACAACTCTGCACCCAAGTTCAAATTATCCTTCATGTAGTTTAGATTAATGGTATGTTTATTAATTGGGAATTGGAATTCTCATCAGGAATTGAATTCCATCTATGGATGATTTCTGCGTTTACTTCACATCAAGCAATTGAAAAGTAAATGGGGCTCACACAAAATTAGGAATTGAATTCCTGATTTTGGAGGAATTCAATTCTTTGGGTGGGAGGTGGTATTCTAATTCTTGGAGAATTAACCCATTAGGAATTCATCTTTTTTACCCATTATATCCTCACACAATTTTCAAAATTCCAAATATGCCATCTACTTTAACCCAACAACTAAGACATTTTAGTAATTAATACCACTCATATCTCAATTTCATGTGGTTTAGTAAACAACTTCAAAAGAAATTCGGAATCCAACTCCCCTCAATCCATATGGTTTAGTAAACAACTTCATTAAGAATCCAAAATCTAATTCTCCTCAATACAACTCCTCCTCAATTCAATTCCTCATAATCCAATTACGGATTAGTAAACATGCCATAAATGAAAATAGAAATAAAAAAAGGAGCAATAATCCTATTTGGTACAATATTTATTGACCACCTCTCTAATAGAGGTCGGCCCCACCAATGTATGTGAGACCCACCTATATTAGAGAGATGGTCAGCAATGTGGTCAGTAAATGTGGTTCAAATAACAACGCTCAAAAAAGAAGTACCAATGTTGTCAATAAATGTGGTCCAAATAGCAACGCTAAAAAAAGAAGTACCATTAAATTACGACTAGTTGATATTTCAATTTATTCCTTGAAGACCATAAAGATATTATTTATGCTTATTTTAGAATAAACTCAAATAACAAAAATTTATGAAGTAAACACACTTAGATTTAGATTAATCAGCTTTTTGCCATATATGATTAATAGTCGGTTATGGATGTGAGACCGAAAGTCATAAAATGTACTTAATCATTCGCGATAATGATGGCTCTTATATCATGAGTAATTTAATTAAGATCTAACACAGGTAACCAATAACCATCGATGACTACATATGGACCAACCAAAAATATTACTCTAAGTTCTAATCCACCATTTGTTCTCTGTCAATTTTCATGTTCTTCCACCCATATATAGAAGGGGTTTTATTTATTTATAAATATTTATTTTATTTTTAAAAGTAACTCAAATTTTAGGCCACACATTCGCAATCATTTTGAACACCAAAATTGCATTATTAGCAATAGAAAAATAATAATAATTGCTGCATTTACCTGAAAGTCACTAGTGGGTGTTTAATTACGTGATCAATTTAAATAATAATTCGCATGCAAACGAATACCTAACTTAATCTTCGTCCATTTGTGCCACACCAAAACGAGTAGAATTATTTGATATATATATATATGCACTTCGACAATGCGCATATGTCATTCAGCCAGCCATTTTCCTATTTAAATCCAACATTATCCATTGGAAATCCAGGTGTTCAAATTTGTGGGATTCTTGTAAGTTTCACGATTGCTCGGAATAAGACCGAGTGTATTTAACGAGAAATTTTTCAGTGTGACGGTTATTCGGCTAATAAGCAACATATAAATATTTGAAGACATGTCACCCTGACTTCTGAGGTGGATCACACAAATCTGTGACCCCATGAGGGTTTCTTATTGTCCAATGCCACAGACTCCACTATGACCAAAAAAAATAAAAACCTTCACCGGCATGCATCATAATGCATGATCCTTCCACTTCTCCGTTATTGGGCTCAAACACCCAAACCCAGCCCAATTAATTTGGGCCCAAAATCCAACTATCAGGCCCGCTTTGAGCCCAAACACACATATTGCCCAATTTGTTTTGAAATTACAAATTTACCCATCACCTGGTGCGGCTAATTTCCCAGTAGCACACAGCTCCACCTTCCTCTCCCAAAAACCTTGCAAAACCTTGAACAAAGCGAAATGTTGCGGACCCTTCTTCGACGGGCAACGGGGTCTGGTTGCCCAAGGCCCGACCCGTGGAGGCTCTCGGCGACGATGAGCTACTCGTCCAAGGACACTAAATCGACCGTGAAGAAGGCGAAGAAGGGCAAGGACAAAAACGACCCTGCGGCCGCAGCCGACGACGCCGTTTCGGACGTCGACGCGCCTCTCTTCGACGAAAAGGCTCGTGCTCGCCGGCTACAAGCCGATGAAAATGATCCGTCGCTCGATGTGGGGCCCAATGGCCGGCCCCTGTTCACTGCCACTCCGACACTCTCTCAGCTCACGCGCAAGGACGCCTACTCCTACTTCAAGCTCAAGTAAAACCCTAAACCCTAATCCCTGATGAAATTGATGTATCTGTGTATGTATTTATTGGGATGTGCTTGTTTTGATTTGCAGGATGGAGGAATTGAACAATGTGTTGCCCGAGGGGTTGCCTTTGGGGATGGTGAAGGAGTTCGAGGACGCAATGCAGAGTGCCGTGCTAGTTCGCCAGAGCTTTCTTGATCTCCGAGATAATTTTCGATGGATTGTGGATCCTCCATTGCACTCTTCTACCACCAAAGGTGTGTGCTTTGTGTCCCATTGTTTCTCACATTAATTGATGCTTTGTTTGTTGTTTGGTCAGAGCTAGTGAGGTTTGAGATTACTGTCATTGGCCACATTTTAAAATGATCATTTTTGGTTGCAGCTTATTATGATTGATATTTAAAAAAAAAATTGTATTAATTTCTTTGGTTACTCATTCTTAGAAGACTTCAATTAAGCTTTTTTCTGGATTATCCTTTATAGATAATCTATGTTGTAAGGCGTACTTAGTTGCTTGTACATCTTGTGCATCATTCTTTAGAGGAACAAAATCGTAGAAACACATGAATGATGGATCATGTGTAAGATGCCCTTATACCTGTATTGTTTATTCAGGTACAAAAGTTAGAAAGCAGATTGTCTTGGACGGTCCTGTAAGTTGTGGAAAGAGTATTGCTCTTTCAATGTTAGTTCAATGGGCTCGCGGGGAAGGTTGGTTGGTGTTATATGTCCCAAGAGGCAGGGACTGGACTTATGGAGGCTTTTTCTATAAAAACCCACAAACAGGTCTTTGGGACACACCTGTTCAGGCTGAAAATATTCTGAAGGTAAGATTGTGAACCACTTTTTTTTTATTCAAATAGCTAAAATTCATGTCAAGACTTTTACAATGTGCTATTAACTTAAACAGGATCAGTAATCTGTGTAGCTTTAATTAATAGTAGTCAATAAGTCTCTTCTATTTTGACCAAAACAAAAGCTTCTTCTAATCAGTGATCATGCCTAAAAGCGATGATTTTCTACAGGGTTGTATTAGAATTAATGTGATCTAAACTATAAACCTCTGTCCATTATGCAGTTTTTGGATTATATGCTCTTGATCATCTCCATGGCTTTATATTCATCTTTTGTGTCATTTTATTCCAGGACTTCCTGAAATTTAATGAATCCTGTTTAAAACAATTGTTCTGCCAAATATTTGATCCTATTCCATTGGGAGAGGGTGCTGGTGTTGGATGGATGAAAGATGGAATTGATACCATGGCAATGCCTGACGGTTCAACTCTGTATGACCTGGTTGATACAGGAATCAAGCATACTCATGCAGCTGTTGGAGTGGTAGTTCGTTTGAGGAAGGAGTTATCTCTTGTGAAAGATATCCCCGTGCTTATTGCAATTGATCAGGTGGGAATGACCACTTGATATTATATTGTGTTAATTGTTTTCAATGAATTGTGTTTCTAGAGATTTGTTGTAAAATGTTGATAGTTCGCTATATTTTTCTGTTCCTTGTCTGCAGTATAATAGCTGGTTTACATTCAGTGAGTATGAAGAGCCAGTAACTGTTCGTTCTACTCGACCAATACATGCTAAAGAACTTGCTACGGTAGGTATCCTCTGCTTTAGTATTATGTTGGTTTATACTTGTAATTCTTTAAGGAACATAAGAATGTCCATTCAATAATGTTTTTTAGGCTTTGTATTACATCTTCAAATAATCTCATTCTCCTTGAGATGTTGTCCATATAAATTGGGTGTACAAGTGGGCATTAAGTTTGGGTCTGGGTCTATGTGCAGCATATAAAAAACTGATGTGCACACACGTATGAGAAAATTCTTGCAGGTGAAGGCTTTTAGATCTATGCGACATGATGACATGATGGTGGGCGCGTTTTCTCATTCAACAGCAGTAGGAAAGCTTCGTCAAGACTTGCCAGAAGTGCCTACAGATGCTCGCGTGAACTTTCCTCGCTACACTTTAGATGAAGCAGCAGCTGTTTGCCATTACTACCTTAGGTATGCTTGTTAATGCCTGCCAAGTTCGCAATGCAATCTTGCTGATTGTATATTTATTGCATGTTTTACCTTGTCTCGTGCAATGTCGGTGGAGAATTAGTAAAAACATAATACACATTACCTATCATTTACTGTACTTTTCAGCTTAAGGCAATAATTCTTAATGTTGGCAGACATGGATGGTGTCCTTAAAATTCAAACGAATCTCGTTAGGCCAACAACTGCATAATGATAATGCATTAGTCTTTGGGCCAGTGCTCTGTAGAAGTTAAACTCTACAGGAGCTTTCTTTCATGTCTAATGCTTTCCTGATGCTTTTTCCCTGCAAACTTCTATATTCTCAGCCTTCCCTACTGTTTTATATGGCAGACAGAGGCTTCTACGCCGTGAAGCATTCACGGAGGAAAACTGGAAGAAAATATACTATTTGTCTAATGGAAATGGAGCAGAAATTAGATGGTTAGTTCCTTTGATGCGGGGAGATGGTATGCAGGCAGATGGTTAGTTCTCTGATGCGGGGAAAAGCAGGGAGAAGATTTGTATCACGGTATTTACAGAAGACACAAATTGGAAGAACTGCTCTTTTGCCGCCTTACCCGTTGATTTTGATCTTATTCAATCAAAATATGTTACTATTTTTCATTGAGCTATTACTCATGATTGTAGCAAAATATCCTGTTTTTTATCACCGAAACTTCTAGTGGGATCAGTTTTCTTTGGCCAACGAGATAAGTGTCTGAAGACATTGTATCATATGTAGTTCAGTTCACATTTTGTAGTTTTGATGTTGAAAGCCACTATTTATATGCAAGATTTTTGTTTTTCTTGCTTAGCCAATTTCACTGTTACCTCCAGACCGCTGTCTTTCTCCACTACCTGTTGAAAATGGCTTACAAATAAAGAATTTAGCTACGTTTTTAGTTTTTGGCTTTTCAAAATCAAAACTATTCACAGATTCATAACGAGAGCCAGAAAGAGTTATATTATTGCACAAATTTGTAAACTGAGTACTGAAATGGTGCAGCCAAGATATAAAAGAAACTGGAGGGCCGA